AGAAATTCATTTTTAAAAAAAACACAGGTCGACTTGGGGACCATATATCTCATGATAAAAAATGACCAAAAAAAATTCCTGCTTTTTTTTTTTTTTTTTTTTTAATTGATTTTAGTTTTTGACTTTTTAAAAATCTTAAACAAAGTCGGATTCCCAAAAAACAAATATAGGAGTGTAGGGTTTTGTGAGCCCTACACCCTCATATATATATATACATATATATATTTTTACGTATTTTTTTTGGAAGGGGGGGGAATATTGAAAAACCAGGCCGCGGACTGGGTCTCATCGGCCGCGGCGGCGGTCGAGAATCTCGGCCGCAGCGGCCGAGAATCTCAGGCGCAGTGGCCGAAATGCCCGCCGCCTAGGCCGCGGGTGTCACATACATGCAAGCGAGTTTCCCCCTTTTCTGCTCCCCTCGCCATCTTCGACATTCCTTTCACGCTCGCTCGCACTCTCCTTCTGTAACCGTTTTTCCCTCTCTATCTCTCTCTTCCCGTGCGCCTTTTGTCTTTCTTGATCACCTGAATCTTCGATTTGTTTCGCGCTATCCTGCGTACCCTTCTTCCTCCCACCTTAAGTCCTCCGCCCACGAACCCGGTCGGTCCTCTCTTCACCCCGTTTAGCCAAGGAGAAGTGTCGTGTAAGACGAAGCTCCTATTACACGACGACTCTGATTGGCTACGATCGGACCCATAAGGATCAACATGGCTTTCGCTGAGCGATTATCCCCAAGTCCTCCCTCACCCTTCCCTGCCCCAATCTTCATCCTCCCTCGTATCCATCTTCCTTCCCGCAACTATAAATTCCGCAAGCGCGCCCACAAATCTCTCTCTCAACTTGTCTGCCAGCTTCCGGGAAGCAGTGGCTAGATGGTACGTGTGGTGTGAGAGTCAAAAAGTCCCGACGGGATGACTGTAGTCTGGTCGGTGGCGCGCCTGATCGCCACGACAGGCTGTGAGATCCGGGCAAGTCGTGCAGAGACTAAGTCGGCGGGGCGACGATCGCAGTGATCGAAAGTGGCACGTGACGGTCGGAATCGTCAGTGCATGCACGGGGATAGTGATCAGAGCTGAATGGATGAATGGTCCAGGGCCATAGTTGAACTTCACGACGGATGCGCCTCCTTGTCTGGGAACTATTCCCTGGTGTGAGTTCAGTTCGACGGCAATTAAGCTGGAAACTCTTCTTCATCATCGGACCTTGGTGTCATTTTTCTTGGGGGAATCTGCTCCTGGGTCACAAAAAAACACTTAATGGTAACATCCTCGTCGTCCAAGTTCAAAATGGCAAAAAAAACACTTAATGGCAACATCCTCGTCGTCCAAGTTCAAATCAGCAAAAATAACATCTTTCTTTTTTTTTTT